AGGTTTGCACACATCTCAGGAGGGATTTTGTTCCACTCCTCTTTGCAGATCTTCTCCAAGTCATTAAAGGTTTCGAGGCTGACGTTTGGCAACTTGGACCTTCAGCTCCCTCCACAGATTTTTTATGGGATTAAGGTCTGGAGACTGGCTAGGCCACTCCAGGACCTTAATGTGCTTCTTCTTGAGCCACTCCTTTGTTGCCTTGGCCATGTGTTTTGGGTCATTGTCATGCTGGAAAACCCATCCACAACCCATTTTGAATGCCCTGGCTGAGGGAAGGTGGTTCTCACCCAAGATTTGACGGTACATGGCCCCGTCCATCGTCCCTTTGATGCAGTGAAGTTGTCCTGTCCCCTTAGCAGAAAACACACCCCCAAAGCATAATGTTTCCACCTCCATGTTTGATGGTGGGGATGGTGTTCTTAAGGTCATAGGCAGCATTCCTCCTCCTCCAAACACGGTGAATTGAGTTGATGCCAAAGAGCTTGATTTTGGTCTCATCTGACCACAACACTTTCACCCAGTTCTCCTCTGAATCATTCAGATGTTCATTAGCAAACTTCAGATGGCCCTGCTTTCTTGAGCAGGGGGACCTTGCGGGTGCTGCAGGATTTCAGTCCTTCACGGCGTAGTGTGTTACCAATTGTTTTCTTGGTGACTATGGTCCCAGCTGCCTCGAGATCATTGACAAGGTCCTCCCGTGTAGTTCTGGGCTGATTCATCACCGTTCTCATGATCATTGCAACTCCACGAGGGGAGATCTTGCATGGAGCCCCAGGCCGAGGGAGATTGACAGTTCTTTTGTGTTTCTTCCATTTGCGAATAATCGCACCAACTGTTGTCACCTTCTCACCAAGCTGCTTGGCGATGGTCTTGTAGCCCATCCCAGCCTTGTGTAGGTCTACAATCTTGTCCCTGACATCCTTGGAGAGCTCTTTGGTCTTGGCCATGGTGGAGAGTTTGGAATCTGATTGATTGATTGCTTCTGTGGACAGGTGTCTTTTATACAGGTAACAAGGTGAGATTAGGAGCACTCCCTTTAAGAGTGTGCTCCTAATCTCAGCTCGTTACCTGTATAAAAGACACCTGGGAGCCAGAAATCCTTCTGATTGAGAGGGGGTCAAATACTTATTTCCCTCATTAAAAATGCAAATCAATTTATAACATTTTTGACATGCGTTTTTCTGGATTTTTTTGTTGTTATTCTATCTCTCACTGTTCAAATAAACCTACCATTAAAATTATAGACTGATCATTTCTTTGTCAGTGGGCAAACGTACAAAATCAGCAGGGGATCAAATACTTTTTCCCTCACTGTATATATATACACTGCTCAAAAAAATAAAGGGAACACTTAAACAACACAATGTAACTCCAAGTCAATCACACTTCTGTGAAATCAAACTGTCCACTTAGGAAGCAACACTGATTGACAATACATTTCACATGCTGTTGTGCAAATGGAATAGACAACAGGTGGAAATTATAGGCAATTAGCAAGACACCCCCAATAAAGGACTGGTATTGCAGGTGGTGACCACAGACCACTTCTCAGTTCCTATGCTTCCTGGCTGATGTTTTGGTCACTTTTGAATGCTGGCGGTGCTTTCACTCTAGTGGTAGCATGAGACGGAGTCTACAACCCACACAAGTGGCTCAGGTAGTGCAGCTCATCCAGGATGGCACATCAATGCGAGCTGTGGCAAGAAGGTTTGCTGTGTCTGTCAGCGTAGTGTCCAGAACATGGAGGCGCTACCAGGAGACAGGCCAGTACATCAGGAGACGTGGAGGAGGCCGTAGGAGGGCAACAACCCAGCAGCAGGACTGCTACCTCCGCCTTTGTGCAAGGAGGAGCAGGAGGAGCACTGCCAGAGCCCTGCAAAATGACCTCCAGCAGGCCACAAATGTGCATGTGTCTGCTCAAACGGTCAGAAACAGACTCCATGAGGGTGGTATGAGGGCCCGACGTCCACAGGTGGGGGTTGTGCTTACAGCCCAACACCGTGCAGGACGTTTGGCATTTGCCAGAGAACACCAAGATTGGCAAATTCGCCACTGGCGCCCTGTGCTCTTCACAGATGAAAGCAGGTTCACACTGAGCACATGTGACAGACGTGACAGAGTCTGGAGACGCCGTGGAGAACGTTCTGCTGCCCGCAACATCCTCCAGCATGACCGGTTTGGCGGTGGGTCAGTCATGGTGTGGGGTGGCATTTATTTGGAGGGCCGCACAGCCCTCCATGTGCTCGCCAGAGGTAGCCTGACTGCCATTAGGTACCGAGATGAGATCCTCAGACCCCTTGTGAGACCATATGCTGGTGCGGTAGGCCCTGGGTTCCTCCTAATGCAAGACAATGCTAGACCTCATGTGGCTGGAGTGTGTCAGCAGTTCCTGCAAGAGGAAGGCATTGATGCTATGGACTGGCCCGCCCGTTCCCCAGACCTGAATCCAATTGAGCACATCTGGGACATCATGTCTCGCTCCATCCACCAATGCCACGTTGCACCACAGACTGTCCAGGAGTTGGCGGATGCTTTAGTCCAGGTCTGGGAGGAGATCCCTCAGGAGACCATCCGCCACCTCATCAGGAGCATGCCCAGGCGTTGTAGGGAGGTCATACAGGCACGTGGAGGCCACACACACTACTGAGCCTCATTTTGACTTGTTTTAAGGACATTACATCAAAGTTGGATCAGCCTGTAGTGTGGTTTTCCACATTAATTTTGAGGGTGACTCCAAATCCAGACCTCCATGGGTTGATCAATTTGATTTCCATTGATCATTTTTGTGTGATTTAGTTGTCAGCACATTCAACTATGTAAAGAAAAAAGTATTTAATAAGATTATTTCATTCATTCAGATCTAGGATGTGTTATTTTAGTGTTCCCTTTATTTTTTTGAGCAGTGTATATCACACACACACATTTAAATACAAAAACACAGTCATGGTAAGCACAAATAAAACATCACAAATCACCCAGAAAAACAGTTACATTCCTCCACAAATAAATCCCCAATCAATACTTTAAATTGACCGAATGGCACCAGACATCAAGATAAAACGTATTTAGAATGTTTTTCCAACAATACAGTGCATTAAAACTAAAAGTAAATTTACCTAGCTCGGTGGAGACCCTAGGAACCTCAAGAGTTAACCAATCCTGTGAACGGGTTAGGCAACTCAGGTGTCTTCAATTCAACAGCAAAGTTAGGTAAGACGGAAGATTATGAAGTTCGGCCTTGTAAACAAAAAGGGAGTAATGTAGAGATCTACAGGTCTTTAGCGAAGTCCAGCCAGCATTTTGCCAACCTTTTGATACAGGATACAGTGATGAGTATCAAAACTTAACTTCATAATAGCTTTAAGTTATTAAGTAACTTCAAGCGTAGACTAGTAGATCACTGGGGACGAGCTCCCTGCCATCTAGGACCTCTATACCAGGCGGTGTCAGAGGAAGGCCCTAAAAATAGTCAGACTCCAGCCACCCAAATCATAGTCTGTTCTCTCTGCTACTGCACAGCAAGCGGTACCGGAGAGCCAAGTCTGGGACCAAAAGGCTCCTGAACAGCTTCTACCCTCAAGCCATAAGACTGCTGAATTAATCAAATGGCTACCCGGACTATTTGCAATTTATCCCTACCTACATGTACATATTTCCTCAAATCACCTCAACCACCAGTACACTGACTCGGTACCGGTACTCCTTGTATATAGCCTCGTTGTTATTTTTATTGTTTTACAATTTCCTTTTTTTATTTGCTAATTTTCATACTTTTTAACTGCATTGTTGGGAAAGGCTCATAAGTAAGCATTTCAAGTGTACACCTGTTGTATTCGGCGCATGTGATAAATAAAATGTGATTGATTGATTTGAGGGGTCAGCCTGATGAACCAGACTACCCAGTAATCTCTTCTATGCAGTCAAACACTCACACACACAAAAACAAACATGTTTTTATGTACACTGAGTCTATCATGTTCAATTGTAATTAGTATGCTTTGTGTAATTGATTGAACAAACTGTTTAGTAGGTATATATTGTGTAGTGTTATTTTCTTTGGTGTGGTTTTCATATAAACCCTCATGGAGTTGCTCTATCTTTCCTCAGTACCCACGCAGCCTTTGACCAGAGCCTTTGATACGGATGTAACCTCCCAACCTTCCTACCCCACCCAGGCTCAGTTCACCCACATGGAGTCTTATAGTGCAACAAATAAATAATATATATTTACTCATTGATAGTGCAACATATATCAGAACCCCACCTCTCTTTTTCCACAGTATCCACACTCCCCCATCACCTGTATGTAACAGATACAGTATATTACCCCTCTCCTTCTCTTCCACCCCTCTGTCACTGATATGAAAGACACCCATCGCCCTGCTCTCTCTTTCCCCAGTACCTAAAACTGGCAGTCTGGGCAATGTCCAGGAAAGGATGGGTCTGTGAAATACCCCCGCAGAACTCCACGCTTCCCATTCCCATGCACATCAAAACTTCAAACATCTGTAGCATGCTCTCCATGTTCACCATGCCTGTATCAAGAAACAGAGGGAGATTCAGGGAGAACATAACATTATTAAAATGAACATTCTTATAATTATAATAATACTGCCTAAGACAACATGAGACATGAAATGGGTGAAACACTAAGAGTTGATGGAAAATTCCATTCTTGAATCAATCAACTGTGCTGTAACATTTTCATGCCACTGTTGCTCTGCTGCCTGAGACAAGTAAAGGTTTCATAAAAACAGACGTTGTTTTGGCATCTGAATGGCAAATTGCGAATTCAGTGTATTGTAAGGGTTGTTACTATTACCAATGGACAATGCATACATGTTTGTAATTACAATAATTCTTCATTATTCAAAGTCATGTGTAGGACTACCTGTAAAAGGAGGGCAGTGTCTGGTGGCTTTCTAAATTGATGTCTATTCAGATTCTTGTTGTTTAGCCATAAACTGCATTTAGGACATTTGATCTTTGGCTTACCTAGAGGTGCCAGGGTTGAATGAGCTGGTCCTGGGGGTTCCGTGGCGGGAAGGGCTGGTCCCAAATTCCTGTGGTGGGAAGGGCTGGTCCCGTGGCGGAAAGGGCTGGCTCCGGGAGTCCCATGGCGGGAAGGGCTGGTTCCGGGGGTCCTGTGGTGGGAAGATATGGTCCAGAAGGTCCCTTGGCATGAAGGGCTGGTTCTGCACAAACTGCAAATAAATATAGTGAATTGTGTAATGGAAAACATATATCCCACTGTTAGTTTTCACGCTAGGAGATAAAGCATAACATAATTGGTATTAAAGCTGAATGATTTCAAACACTATTTAATTTGTAGGAGCAAAAACATTCAAGAAAAGCAGAAGCTGTTTTATACAGTGGTACAGTACCATTCAGGGCTCTACAGTGCGACCATTTTACTCGCATGTGCGCCTAAATATTTTGCTGTGCGACAATTTTTATTTAGGAGCCTAGAAAAATTAAGAATTCTAGCTTTAATATTTTTCATTATGCTCCTAAATGTCTTTGTGTGCGTCTACATTTTTCAACTGAGGTACACACGTGCTCCTTGTAAAAAAGGTCAGCGTAGAGCCCTGCCATTGCAATGTGTTATCCTTGTAAACTCAATGACGGAGATCGGCAATACCAACCTCTACAGTGAGGGAAAAAAGTATTTGATCCCCTGCTGATTTTGTACGTTTGCCCACTGACAAAGAAATGATCAGTCTATAATTTTAATGGTAGGTTTATTTGAACAGTGAGAGATAGAATAACAACAAAAAAATCCAGAAAAACGCATGTCAAAAATGTTATAAATTGATTTGCATTTTTAATGAGGGAAATAAGTATTTGACCCCCTCTCAATCAGAAGGATTTCTGGCTCCCAGGTGTCTTTTATACAGGTAACGAGCTGAGATTAGGAGCACTCTCTCAGCTTGTTACCTGTATAAAAGACACCTGTCCACAGAAGCAATCAATCAATCAGATTCCAAACTCTCCACCATGGCCAAGACCAAAGAGCTCTCCAAGGATGTCAGGGACAAGATTGTAGACCTACACAAGGCTGGAATGGGCTAAAAGACCATCGCCAAGCAGCTTGGTGAGAAGGTGACAACTGTTGGTGCGATTATTCGCAAATGGAAGAAACACAAAAGACCTGTCAATCTCCCTCGGCCTGGGGCTCCATGCAAGATCTCACCTCGTGGAGTTGCAATGATCATGAGAACGGTGAGGAATCAGCCCAGAACTACACGGGAGGATCTTGTCAATGATCTCAAGGCAGCTGGGACCATAGTCACCAAGAAAACAATTGGTAACACACTACGCCGTGAAGGACTGAAATCCTGCAGCACATATACAGGGCCGTCTGAAGTTTGCCAATGAACATCTGAATGATTCAGAAGAGAACTGGGTGAATGTATTGTGGTCATATGAGACCAAAATGGAGCTCTTCGGCATTAACTCAACTCGCCGTGTTTGGAGGAGGAGGAATGCTGCCTATGACCCCAAGAACACCATCCCCACCGTCAAACATGGTGGTGGAAACATTATGCTTTGGGGGTGTTTTTCTGCTAAGGGGACAGGACAACTTCACCACATCAAAGGGACGATGGACGGGGCCATGTACCGTCAAATCTTGGGTGAGAACCTCCTTCCCTCAGCCAGGGCATTGAAAATGGGTCGTGGATGGGTATTCCAGCATGACAATGACCCAAAACACATGGCCAAGGCAACAAATGAGTGGCTCAAGAAGAAGCACATTAAGGTCCTGGAGTGGCCTACCCAGTCTCCAGACCTTAATCCCATAGAAAATCTGTGGAGGGAGCTGAAGGTTCGAGTTGCCAAACGTCAGCCTCTAAACCTTAATGACTTGGAGAATATCTGCAAAGAGGAGTGGGACAAAATCCCTCCTGAGATGTGTGCAAACCTGGTGGCCAACTACAAGAAACGTCTGACCTCTGTGATTGCCAACAAGGGTTTTGCCACCAAGTACTAAGTCATGTTTTGCAGAGGGGTCAAATACTTATTTCCCTCATTAAAATGCAAATCAATTCATAACATTTTTTAAATGCGTTTTTCTGGATTTTGTTGTTGTTATTCTGTCTCTCATTGTTCAAATAAACCTACCATTAAAATTATAGACTGATTATTTCTTTGTCAGTGGGCAAACGTACAAAATCAGCAGGGGATCAAATACTTTTTTCCCTCACTGTATATGCAGGACTACCTTCAACCTATGAGACTTCAGGTGTGTAAACACTGGCCTGGTCGCAGGACTTGTAGACAGAGGGTAAACAAAATACACAACCGGTCAAAAGCTGAGCAATTGTTGGCTGCTTTTCCTTCACTCTGCGGTCCGACTCATCCCAAACCATCTCAATTTGGTTGAGGTCAGGGGATTGTGGAGGCCAGGTCATCTGATGCAGCACTACATCACTCTCCTTCTTGGTAAAGTCGTCCTTTCACAGCCTGGAGGTGTGTTGGGTCATTGTCCTGTTGAAAAACAAATGATAGTCCCACTAAGCCCAAACCAGATGGGATGGCGGATCGCTGCAGAATGCTGTGGTAGCCATGCTGGTTAAGTGTACCTTGAATTCTAAATAAATCACAGACAGTGTCACCAGCAAAGCAACCCCACACCATAACACCACCTCCTTCATGCTTTACGGTGGGAAATACACATGCAGAGATCATCCGTCCAACCACACGCATCTCACAAAGACACGGCGATTGGAACCAAAAATCTCCAGATACCCAGAAAGACTCACAGCTGTAATCACTGCCAAAGGTGCTTCTACAAAGTATTGACCCAGGGGTTTGAATACTTATGTAAATGAGATTTGCAAAAATGTTTAAAAACATGTTTTCACTTTGTCATTATGGGGTATTGTGTGTAGATGGGTGAGAAAAAAATATAAATGTAATCCATTTTGAATTCAGGTTGTAACAACAAAATGTGTAATAAGTCAAGGGGTTTGAATACTTTCTGAAGGCATTGTATGTTGTTCTCTAGAGCGCATAAAAATAACTGATTTAAGCATATGTACTTTGGATGGTGTCCATATTGATTGTGTCACTTCTTACACATATCTGGGCATCTGGATAGATGAAAAGCTGTCTTTTAAAAAGCATTTAGAAAAGTTAGTTAAGAAGCTGAGAATAAAAATGGGCTTCAGGAAACCCTGATCTATGTGAACGCAGCTACCACTTCATTGAAGCCGTTAAATGCAGTTTATTGTAGCTCACTGCGCTTTATTATGAGCAACAATTTTAGTACTAATCAGTTCATTCTCTACCAGAAAGTTGGTTGGCCCTCTTTGATGTTACTTAGGTTGATACATTGTTTTCATTTATAAAGGCCTTTTACAAAAAGTCCCACTGTACCTAACATCTTTACTATACTTTAGACATTACCACACCCGGTCTCAGGGATGACTAACTCTGGAAATTCCTTTGGTCTCTACGGAGTTAGGAAAATCAGCTGTATTTTCTGTAATTTATGTCATTCAGGGCCCATCTGTAAAAGAGATCTTGGTCTCAGACTCCCTGAAAAATAAAGTACAAAATATATTATTGGGTATGACACTACAAGCTTGGCACACCTGTATTTGGGGAGTTTCTCCCATTCTTCTCTGCAGATCCTCTCCAGCTCTGTCAGGTTGGATGGGGTGCGTCGCAGCAAAGCTAATTTTCAGGTCTCTCCAGAGATTTTAGATCGGGTTCAAGTCCGGGTTCTGGCTGGGCCACTCAAGGACATTCAGAGACTTGGCCCCGAAGCCACTCCTGCATTGTCGAGGGCTGCGTGCTTAGGGTTGTTGTCCTGTTGGAAGGTGAACCTTCGCCCCAGTCTGAGGTCCTGAGCAGGTTTTTTATCAAGGATCTCTCTGTACTTTTTCTGTTAATCTTTCCCTTGATCCTGACTAGACTCCCAGTCCATGCCGCTGAAAAATCATCCCCACAGCATGATGCTGACACCACCATGTTTGACAGTAGGGAGGGTGCCAGGTTTCCTCCAGACGTGACACTTGGTATTCAGGCCAAAGAGTTCAACCTTGGTTTCATCAGACCAGAGAATCTTGGTTACTACATGATTCCATATGTGTTATTTCATAGTTTTGATATCTTCACTATTATTCTACAATGTAGAAAATAGTAAAAATAAAGAAAAACCCTAAAACTTTTGACCGGTAGTGTATATATGGGTATATCAATCTCCTGCATATTCTGCTTTTATTTCTTTCTTTCATGTACAAATGAATAAACTAAATTATTGGTAAAACATCCTCCTAGATTTTACCTTGAAAATGTCAAACATTCAGAGACTAACACTGCAGCTGGCCACCATGTAAATTATGTAAATTATGAATGAATAGTTTTTTATGAAAGAAAAGGAACACGTCTTTCTCACACTATATTGCATGCCCTTGTAAAAGTAGATTCTATAACTATAGTAACTGTGTGGTTAAACCCAGTTAAACTTAGTTACTTCATGTTTCTACATGAGGCAACAAAAGTGGTACCAAAAGAAGAACAACCAAATGCAAAGCTTGATTTCATGCTTTAATTTTGAGAAGGGCAAGGGATGCATGGGATACAGTGTCCCTTTTCCTACAGTTCCTCTAAGACAGGATAGTAACTGTAAAATAAGTGTATCCAAATTCCCACTCCAAAAATCAGGGCCAACATGTTGACACCCAAAGAAATGTCTGATGTCCCCCTTGCCCCTTCCACACTTCTCCATCAGCCAATTTCTTCTTCAAGCAGCAAAATATTTTTATGGTCAGTTTTGTATTATGCTAATTAGATTTCCACAGGGGCGCGGACATCGACCTTTGGGGGTAAAATAAATAAAAATAGTACACCTCCACCAAGGCATCATACCCACCTGCCAACCACATTTGTGACAGAGCACAAGCCATAACTAGGCCAGGCTTCACTTTGTTTCAGAGAAATTATCACCAACAACCTAAGTAAACTATTGAACCCTTGCAACGAAGAAGCATACAGTGGGGGAAAAAAAGTATTTAGTCAGCCACCAATTGTGCAAGTTCTCCCACTTAAAAAGATGAGAGAAGCCTGTAATTTTCATCATAGCTACACGTCAACTATGACAGACAAAATGAGAAAAAAAATCCAGAAAATCACATTGTAGTATTTTTTATGAATTTATTTGCAAATTATGGTGGAAAATAAGTATTTGGTCAATAACAAAAGTTTCTCAATACTTTGTTATATACCCTTTGTTGGCAATGACACAGGTCAAACGTTTTATGTAAGTTCACAAGGTTTTCACACACTGTTGCTGGTATTTTGGCCCATTCCTCCATGCAGATCTCCTCTAGAGCAGTGATGTTTTGGGGCTGTCACTGGGCAACACGGACTTTCAACTCCCTCCAAAGATTTTCTATGGGGTTGAGATCTGGAGACTGGCTAGGCCACTCCAGGACCTTGAAATGCTTCTTACGAAGCCACTCCTTCGTTGCCCGGGCGGTGTGTTTGAGATCATTGTCATGCTGAAAGACCCAGCCACGTTTCATCTTCAATGCCCTTGCTGATGGAAGGAGGTTTTCACTCAAAATCTCACGATACATGGCCCCATTCATTCTTTTCTTTACACGGATCAGTCGTCCTGGTCCCTTTGCAGAAAAACAGCCCCAAAGCATGATGTTTCCACCCCCATGCTTCACAGTAGGTATGGTGTTCTTTGGATGCAACTCAGCATTCTTTGTCCTCCAAACACGACGAGTTGAGTTTTTACCAAAAAGTTCTATTTTGGTTTCATCTGACATTCTCCCAATCCTCTTCTGGATCATCCAAATGCACTCTAGCAAACTTCAGACGGGCCTGGACATGTACTGGCTTAAGCAGGGGGACACGTCTGGCACTGCAGGATTTGAGTCCCTGGCGGCGTAGTGTGTTACTGATGGTAGGCTTTGTTACTTTGGTCCCAGCTCTCTGCAGGTCATTCACTAGGTCCCCCCGTGTGGTTCTGGGATTTTTGCTCACCGTTCTTGTGATCATTTTGACCCCACGGGGTGAGATCTTGCGTGGAGCCCCAGATCGAGGGAGATTATCAGTGGTCTTGTATGTCTTCGATTTCTTCAAACCAAGCTGCTTACCTATTGCAGATTCAGTCTTCCCAGCCTGGTGCAGGTCTACAATTTTGTTTCTGGTGTCCTTTGACAGCTCTTTGGTCTTGGCCATAGTGGAGTTTGGAGTGTGACTGTTTGAGGTTGTGGACAGGTGTCTTTTATACTGATAACAAGTTCAAACAGGTGCCATTAATACAGGTAACGAGTGGAGGACAGAGGAGCCTCTTAAAGAAGAAGTTACAGGTCTGTGAGAGCCAGAAATCTTGCTTGTTTGTAGGTGACCAAATACTTATTTTCCACCATAATTTGCAAATAAATTCATAGAAAATCCTACAATGTGATTTTCTGAAGAAAAAAAATCTCAATTTGTCTGTCATAGTTGACGTGTACCTATGATGAAAATTACAGGCCTCTCATATTTTTAAGTGGGAGAACTTGCACAATTGGTGACTGACTAAATACTTTTTTCCCCCACTGTATGCGTTTGGAAAATTCTGATGTTTTTTTTTTGTTGGGGGGGTGGGGTGTGTGTACCACATCAAGTGTCATTATTGAAAGATCATGTCATCTAACTTCTCTCTTTCAATTATACTTGCTATTTCTTTTCCATACTTTTTATAATGATTCATGAAGTCAACATGTGGTTTGACAAAGTGTTCAAGAGACTGCATATGTAACAGGGTTGGTTATGTTTTCACTTGACACTGCAATATGTATTCATATTGGTTGGTTGAAGTTAGATATCATTAAGGTGTTATGACATTGGTCATGCTTGCAGATAGGGGGACATTGCAAACGTAAATTCTTCCCAGTCTGATATTGATATGCAAGCGACGAATTACAAATCTACAGCCATCAACATACTGTTGTCCTGCACATGTAATGTGCTTCCTTGTGTCTATCGTTAGCTTAAACACAAATCAACTGGGATCGCTGGCTGGACAGTGCTTTTGTTAAAAACATAACCCAAGAGAGTTACGAAGTCCGATCACATCTGTTACACTGGTGCCAAGACCAGTCTTCTTGTCTTCGCTGGACAGCTGTTACACATACACAGATAGAACAATGAGCCAGATGTTTCACCAGATGTATAGATCTGAAGCATCCGGGTGGAATTCCCACTCACCACCAAATATGGTGATGAGAGGAAGCCCAGTGGCCGGCAGTGGGAGAAGATGGAGCGAGATTTTGGCTGACTGGAGTATCTGTTCATAGAACCACTTTAAGCCGTACACTCCACAGAGCTGGGTTTTACGGAAAAGTGGCCAGAAAAAAGCCATTGCTTTAAAAAAATAAATAAGCAGACACGTTTGGTGTTTGCCAAAAGGCATGTGGGAGACTCCCCAAACATATGGAAGAAGGTACTCTGGTCAGATTAGACAAAAATTTAGCTTTTTGGCCATCAAGGAAAACACTATGTCTGGCGCAAACCCAACACCTCTCATCACCCCGAGAACACCATCCCCACAGTGAAGCATGGTGGTGGCAGCATCATGCTGTGGGGATGTTTTTCCATTGGCAGGGACTGGGAAACTGGTCAGAATTGAAGGAATGATGGATGGTCCTAAATACAGGAAAATTCTTGAGGGAAACCGGTTTCAGTCTTCCAGAGATTTGAGACTGGGACAGAGGTTCACCTTCCAGCAGGACAATGACCCTAAGCATACTGCTAAAGCAACACTCGAGTGGTTTATGGGGAAATATTTAAATGTCTTGGAATGGCCTAATCAAAGCCCAGACCTCAATCCAATTGAGAATCTGTGGTATGACTTAAAGATTGCTGTACACCAGCGGAACCCATCCAACTTGAAGGAGACGGAGCAGTTTTGCCTTGAAGAATGGGCAAAAATCCCAGTGGCTAGATGTGCCAAGCTTATAGAGACATACCCCAAGAGACTTGGAGCTGTAATTGCTGCAAAAGGTGGCTCTACAAAGTATTGACTTGGGGGGGGGGGGGGGGGGGGGGGGGGTGAATAGTTATGCACGCTCAAGTATTCTGTTTTCTTGTCTTATTTCTTGTTTCACAATGAAAAATATTTTGCATCTTCAAAGTGGTAGGCATGTTGTGTAAATCAAATTATACAACACCTCGAATAATCCATTTTAATTCCAGGTTGTAAGGCAACAAAATAGGAAAAATGGGGTGAATACTTTCACAAGCCACTGTACATGATAGAAAGCACCAGTAGGCTCTCGCTAGCTTGTGCTTTGCTCTGCCCACCTCCTTGCTTTTTCTGCCCAATTTGATTCATTTGCTCCCATTGGAAATGACAGGCTGTGGTCTATCTTGGGTTAGTTATAAAAATATTTGCTTCATATGTGCAACTTGCAAGAGCAAGCAGAGGAAAAATGTGATGCTCATGACTAGAGCCTAATACATTTCCCGATCTAGCAAAATTAGATTAGAAATTAGATGGCTTTTTTTATACCTTCCATGCATATTCAGATTTTTTATTATTATTTGTTTACAAATAGTGCCTTACAAGACAACAGACCGGTCTTGAACATCTTCTGTTACTTAAGCCTTGTTCACACTGCAGGCCTTAATGCTCAAATCAGTTTTGTTTTTGCTCGTGCTTACCATCACTCAGAAGTTATCTAGCAAGCTAAGGTGCCAACAATGCCTGCCATGGAAGTTTCCCAGTTGCTTTGAATGTTAAAAATCATAGTTTAAGAATACCTAAAGCCTCAAAAGATAAGATGATCCACCTTTCAAAACAAGTCATTTTTGGCTAGCCACAGCAGTCAACTAGCTAGCTAGGCATCTGTTAAGCTTTCTAGCACAGTCACTAATTTGTTTGTAAACAATTAACAAGCTAGTTAGCTACCGCATGTTCTTGTCAAACTTTCAACAGAGTAGCTAGCAAGCAACAAGATATGCCAAATAAACAGTCTATGCTAAATAACCATCTGTGGCTTGAAATATCCGATTTCATGTGCTTTTTGGCTGATCAGACTGCAGGAAAAATAACAGATTAGAATCGGATATGCATTTTGTTTTTGTCACTTCAAACTGCAAATGTGAACAAGGCTTTTGAACCTTGAGAAATGAGTGTAGGTGTCCCATTTAGAAAAACCTTTGTGTTCCTTTTCTGTGAAATGTGACCACAATTACCACTGCCTATATAGTACTTTTTTTCCCCACAGTTCAAATCATACCATCGTCTTGGTATTCAGTAATCAAAAATTATTCTGAGTTGAAAAGGTTGCCAAATATTGACTCCTATAAAGCTCTTGGGAAAAACGAATCTGCCAAAGATTGCATGGTATTGTACAAAGCAAAAACAGAAAGACAGACAACATGCCACTGTCACATTTATGCCTCTTTAATTGACCACATTGTAAAAATTCAAAGCTCACTGACAGACAATATTATTTTGGCCATTGATTGCAGAAATCACTTCTTGACATTTGATTGGACATTATGAAAACACACAAAAAAAAATGTCTACAAACAAAATGAAAAAGTTTAATTTCACACTCATCTGTAGACAACAGGGGAACGCTTTTCAGTGCTGTGTGCTAAAAGAGGTGCATGAACGCTGATGGGTTGGAGGGCTTTACGTCCGTGAGAGCCCTCGGTTATCCAGGTCTTTCACCTCAAAGGGGTAAACACAGGACAGTGTTAATAATGTGTTGTTTAAAAATAAGTGTACATCAGGGGGTATTCAACTCTTACCCTAAGAGGTCTGTAGCCTGCTGATTTTCTGTTCTACCTGATAATTAATTAGGTCTAAATCAGTCCCTGATTGGGGGGGACAATGAAAAAAATGCTGTGGGATTCGCTTCGAGGTCCAGACTGGAGTTTGAGGGGTTTACATGTAATGGCAGGTAGCCTATCGGTTAGTGTTGGGCCAGTAACCGAAAGATATCTGGTTCGAATACCCAAGCCGACAAGGTGAAAACAACACATTCACCTAGAGACATTTTATATAAATAACTTGCCTGGTACTCTACAGGCGTGACTGAATAAATACAGAGGAGAGTAAGACAGTAGTCACAGAAAGAAAGGGGGTTGTTTACCTTGTATATCCTGACCAGCCAGTGCTCTGTAGTGTAGGCCTCCTCCAGCACGTCCAGCTCAAAGTCCTTGTTGCCGATCTCAGCGTTTCTCACTCTGTCATAGCCAGGGGGGCGCTCTGGAACAAGGGTTAGAACATCAGGACAAGGGCCAAGATGATGAAGAGGAATATCATATTTTGACACCCACAGTCCTCTGTGGAAACTTGTTATGAGGTATAATACCACTCTGATACTTCAGGAAATCATTGAAAATCAGGAGAAATAGGATATTATTTTCAAGGGATAGAGGAAGATGTCAGACAAGCAGGAATTCCTGATTAATTAGGAAAAATCCCACCCCTTACTGTATACTAGATGGTTTCAGAGTAGACCTGCCATATGGATTATAATCATGCAGGGTTACTCACTGGCCTCTGTGTAGACCTGGCCGAAGCGGTAGTAGCACATCTTGTACATGAGGCAGTTGAGCAGGACGGGGGAGCCCTCACGGTCCACACGGAACTCTCCAGTGGGGGTGTAGTAGTCGTGCTCCTTGATGTGCTTCCCTGTGTCTGTGCTGCCCCCTATACGCACCATCCACAGGAACTTGTTAATGTCTGCACAGAGGACAGAGGAGTGTTAGCAGACCTAAAGCATGAGTAACATTCTCAAGTTTATTTACGGACATGCAAAAAGTGCTCCATCTAATGTATGTATTAGGCATTGACAACTCTAATGATCATGAGTTAAATAACTTAATCTGAAATATATATGTTAAGAAGCTGTAGTAATAAGAAGATGTAATAATTCAACAAAGTGATTATCCATAGAGTGATGGGCATTGATAGTTTCCACTGGCTTTGTAGACATACCGTCTGAGGAGTATCCCGTCAGTCCACCAAAGATGACCAGGACGTAGCTGACATCCAGCTCCCGCATGATCTCATAGGCCTTCTCCTCGGTGGACGCCATGGCCTAACGGTCAACAGAAACAGTTTAATTGAAGTTCAGCAGTTACTGGTACCAACCAGCAATTAACAGATGATAGAATCTTCCCACTTATCAGTCCCATGTCAAGTCATCAATACAAAAATAAATTAGCACCTCACCTGGCCCACTCTGGAGATGTGCGTGTTGTTCCACGTGTTGTTGTCCACTAGAATTGTTCGATTGGCCATGGCTGTTATCTGATAGCCATAATCCCACCATGACATCACTTTAGCATCCTCTGGGGTGTTGTGGCGGAGCCAGTAGTAGGCCTCTCTGAAGTCGTCAAATATGATGCGGCTGCCGTCTCCACCGCGGGCTGACAGGACGATGGAGGGGGAGGAGTAGGCCTCGCTGGTCACCCAGGTGGAGTGAAAGGTGTAGGTGATGAGGAAGAAGGTCATGACAAGAATCATCCCACTGGCCACCTGGTGGACAAAATGGTACAGGATATTAGTGGAACGAATAATAGAAAGACTTTCAGATCTACACAAATGCCTAGGGGTTAGGGGTTGTTACTGGACCGGGCCTAGATCTCACTAGATCACTGCACCCTTATTAAATGTGTCCCCTGACTTCATCAGTTGGAATGACACCCAGTATCAATGGATACATTCTCAGCGCTGCATTTCAGTGTTATGAACAAACATTTATTGTACAGTGCCATCTGGGGGCCAATTCTTTCACACACGCTGCTGGTACTCTTTATTATCAATGCATAGTCAAATACCCCTACCTACATGTACATATTACCTCGACTACCCCATATCCCTGCACATTGACTTGGTACCGGTACCCCTTGTAGATAGCCTCGTTATTATATTTGGCGCATGTGACAAATAAAATGTGAAGTATCCTTCCTCTCTTACCTCGTTCTTGATGGGGTAGGTGGCGTCCTGCTGCTTCTTGCTCTTCTTGTCTGGTCGGCTGATGTCCAGGTTCTTCATGTAAGTTGTGAGGACCTGGGACACACCAATGCCTGACAGGATGCACATGACTGGGGCCAGGACCAGCATCAGACGCACCTGAGGAGAGAAGCAGCCGGATCAGTTAAACACACCCACTCCGTAGTCTCTTTCTGGGAGCTCATCTGCTTGCACAAAAGGCAATAGGGTAACACTAATCTCGCATTGCAATTGATATCTATAGGCTACATTGAGGTTTTTCTTACATTATTTTAGGCTATCTGGCATTAGTGTGTAAACTTTAGGGCCTAACTGTACACGCACCCAATAGCTTACACGCCAATCGCCAAATGCTTTTGGGAACAGGCAGAAAAAGTTAACGTCGATCCACGGAGGCAAAAAAGACAATGTTGGAGTTCAATTCAATAAGAAACTGCGAAATGGAGAGTTGAAAATAAAGAGAAGGGAGGGCCAGAAAAGTAATGTTTGGGAAAATATTTGTTGAAGTGGTAAAATAGGATGATAGCAGTATCTGTACTTTACTAATTATATTTGACAACTTTTACTTCACTACATTCCTAAAGATAATAATGTACTTTTTATTCCATACATTTACCCTGACACCCAAAAGTTACATGTCGAATGCGTCGGAGGACAGAAAAACGGTCCAATTCACGCACTTATCAAGAGAACATCCCTGGTCATCCCTACTGCCTCTGATCTGGCGGATTTATGAAACACAAATGCTTCGTTTGTAAATTGTCTGAGTGTTGGAGTGTGCCCCTGGCTATCCGTAATTATTTTAAATTTTAAATCATGCCGTCTGGTTTGCTTAATATAAGGAATTTTTAAATTATTTATGTAATTGTTAAAATATACTTAAGTATATTTAAAGCCAAATACTTTTACTCAAGTAGTATTTTCCTGGGTGACTCACTTTTACTTGAGTCATTTTCTGTTAAGGTAGCTTTATGTATGACAAATTGGGTATGTTTTCCAAGTACAGATCCTAAAAAACCCAGACTTAAGTAGTACCTTAAAGTATTTTTACTTAAGTACTTTACACCACTGGGTACCAGTCTTTTTACCTAATCCACTCCCTGTACTCCATGTCGTGCCAAAGAAAAATCACCACCTGCTGGAGAAGACAGATTTTGGGCCCAGTTATCCCTCTCGCGTCGCCTCTTCCTCTCTGGTGTGACTCACAAATTTCAGTTAATTACTATAGCTCCCGCCTTGGGCCAATCGGTGTAATTTTGTAAATCCGGATCTCTATGGCAAGACATTTCATTCACCCAAGTTTAATCAAAATCAGGCCAGTGCTGTCTGTGATATCGCGCGTGACGAACGAACTGAGAACGATCCACAGTCCCCTCCCAGATTTCATCGTGGGGGACAACTGAGAATATTTTGCTTCCAGAGCAGAGGAGGGCCAGCCCACCGAACCCAATATGCAAAAGGTGTTACAAAGCAGTGCAAGGGAGGTTTAGTGGCAAAACGACAAACAATTTTACAAATGACATTTTGCATTGTAATGTTATTCTACTAGCAACTAAAATCTAATTATTTTTGAGTGGCAATGACATTAACATACAGTATATTCAGCATGACATTCATGTGAAATGCACTCATCATTTAACTATGACAGCAATATATTTAGACTACTTCATGTTTGTCTGGGCTTGCTAGCAGTAGCCACTAGCCAGCCAGCAGCCCTGGGCGTAGCAATGCACCCTGGGAGTTGAAATGCACTCGGAATCGTAGTATGCTGTATAAAATCCATTGTGTGTAAACTTAACAAAATGAGTTTCAAAGTGTTTGTCGTTTTGGAACTAAACTATTCAAATAATACATACAATTATTTAGCTGTATTGAAATCATAGGTCAAATTAATGTAAACCCTGATATGTATCAAATTACATTTAAAAACAGTTTAGATGCAATTGTAAAATTATTTTGTATGCTGTGTCTCATATGGTTTTCCATAAGGACATTTAAGATATTCTTCTGTTCTCACAAGTGGCGCAGTGGTCTAAGGCACTGCGGCGCAGTGGTCTAAGGCTGTGCCACTAGAGATCCTGGTTCGAATCCAGGCTCTGCCGTAGCCGGCCGCGACCGGGAGAATGGCCCACAGGGATGTAGCTCAGTTGTTAAAGCATGGCGTTTGCAACGCCAGGGTTGTGGGTTCGATTCCCACAGGGGGCCAGTATTTAAAAAATAAAAATAATAATGTATGCACTCACTAACTGTAAGTCGCTCTAGATAAGAGCGTCTGCTAAATGACTAAAATGTAAATGTTACTTAATATGGTGTTTTATTTTTAAAAGAAATTGAATATAAGATATTCTATTTCTAACAGTTATCAACATATTGTTCAACGTTGAAAAATAAAAAGGCCAGTGATTATTCTGTGACTTTAGCTAATACACTTTATTTTTCTTGCTGTGGACTTACAGTTAGTGAGTGCATACATTATTATTTTTATTTATTCGTTTCGGCATCGAGTATAATTTTGGTTGAGTATTTTGATACTAAACCTGGTATCGTATTGAATTCTGGTATCATGACAACACTAGACCTCTGACAGTTAGGTACCATGTGCAATTACTACTCACAACAGCAGAAAGATTGGAATATTTGACACCATACATTTAAAATATTCCTCTCATTCAAGAGCTAATCTGCTAGCTGACTTACCATGACAGCTGAGAAGTACATGCTGGTGACTCCATACATGATGATGAAGATCCTTGCATCAGACAGGTTGTTGAAGCAGTAATACAGACCCACTGTCAGGAGGAAGCAAAGCAGGTTCATTAAAGCAGCAGTGCAATGTTTTTCTTCACAAGTGATTTTTGTACCTTTGTCCCAAAGGTATTCTGATCAATCCATTAATCTAAACATAATTTCACCAGCAAGATTGACGAATATTCAAGGCTGATTGAGAATAATCTACAGTGAGGGAAAAAAGTATTTGATCCCCTGCTGATTTTGTACATTTGCCCACTGACAAATAAATGATCAGTCTATAATTTTAATGGTACGTTTATTTGAACAGTGAGAGACAGAATAACAACAAAAAAATCCAGAAAAACGCATGTCAAAAATGTTATAAATTGATTTGCATTTTAATGAGGGAAATAAGTATTTGACCCCCTTCTCAATCAGAAAGATTTCTGGCTCCCAGGTGTCTTTTATACAGGTAACAAGCTGAGATTAGGAGCACACTCTTAAAGGGAGTGCTCCTAATCTCAGTTTGTTACCTGTATAAAAGACACCTGTCCACAGAAGCAATCAATCAATCAGATTCCAAACTCTCCACCATGGCCAAGACCAAAGAGCTCTCCAAGGATGTCAGGGACAAGATTGTAGACCTACACAAGGCTGGAATGGGCTACAAGACCATCGCCAAGCAGCTTGGTGAGAAGGTGACAACAGTTGGTGCGATTACTCGCAAAAGGAAGAAACACAAAATAACTGTCAATCTCCCTCGGCCTGGGGCTCCATGCAAGATCTCACCTTGTGGAGTTGCAATGATCATGAGAACAGTGAGGAATCAGCCCAGAACTACACGGGAGGATCTTGTCAATGATCTCAAAGCAGCTGGGACCATAGTCACCAAGAAAACAATTGGTAACACCCTACGCCGTGAAGGACTGAAATCCTGCAGCGCCCGCAAGGTCCCCATGCTCAAGAAAGCACATATACAGGGCCGTCTGAAGTTTGCCAATGAACATCTGAATGATTCAGAGGAGAACTGGGTGAAAGTGTTGTGGTCAGATGAGACCAAAATCGAGCTCTTTAGCATCAACTCAACTCGCCGTGTTTGGACGAGGAGGAATGCTGCCTATGACCCCAAGAACACCATCAAACATGGAGGTGGAAACATTATGCTTTGGGGGTGTTTTTCTGCTAAGGGGACAGGACAACATCACCGCATCAAAGGGACGATGGACAGGGCCATGTACCGTCAAATGGGTGAGAACCTCCTTCCCTCAGCCAGGGCATTGAAAATGGGTCGTGGATGGGTATTCCAGCATGACAATGACCCAAAACACACGGCCAAGGCAACAAAGGAGTGGCTCAAGAAGAAGCACATTAAGGTCCTGGAGTGGCCTAGCCAGTCTCCAGGACCTTAATCCCATAGAAAATCTGTGGAGGGACCTGAAGGTTCGAGTTGCCAAACGTCAGGCTCGAAACCTTAATGACTTGGAGAAGATCTGCAAAGAGGAGTGGGACAAAATCCCTCCTGAGATGTGTGCAAACCTGGTGGCCATCTACAAGAAACGTCTGACATCTGTGATAGCCAACAAGGGTTTTGCCACCAAGTATTAAGTCATGTTTTGCAGAGGGGTCAAATACTTATTTCCCTCATTGAAATGCAAATCAATTCATAACATTTTTGACATGCGTTTTTCTGGATGTTTTTGTTGTTATTCTGTCTCTCACTGTTCAAATAAACCTACCATTAAAATTATAGACTGATCATGTCTTTGTCAGTGGGCAAACGTACAAAATCAGCAGGGGATCAAATACAGTGGGGGAAAAAAAGTATTTAGTCAGCCACCAATTGTGCAAGTTCTCCCACTTAAAAAGATGAGAGAGGCCTGTAATTTTCATCATAGGTACACGTCAACTATGACAGACAAATTGAGATTTTTTTCCCCCAGAAAATCACATTGTAGGATTTTTTATGAATTTATTTGCAAATTATGGTGGAAAATAAGTATTTGGTCACCTACAAACAAGCAAGATTTCTGGCTCTCACAGACCTGTAACTTCTTCTTTAAGAGGCTCCTCTGTCCTCCACTCGTTACCTGTATTAATGGCACCTGTTTGAACTTGTTATCAGTATAAAAGACACCTGTCCACAACCTCAAACAGTCACACTCCAAACTCCACTATGGCCAAGACCAAAGAGCTGTCAAAGGACACCAAAAACAAAATTGTAGACCTGCACCAGGCTGGGAAGACTGAATCTGCAATAGGTAAGCAGCTTGGTTTGAAGAAATCAACTGTGGGAGCAATTATTAGGAAATGGAAGACATACAAGACCACTGATAATCTCCCTCGATCTGGGGCTCCACGCAAGATCTCACCCCGTGGGGTCAAAATGATCACAAGAACGGTGAGCAAAAATCTCAGAATCACACGGGGGGACCTAGTGAATGACCTGCAGAGAGCTGGGACCAAAGTAACAAAGCCTACCATCAGTAACACACTACGCCGCCAGGGACTCAAATCCTGCAGTGCTAGACGTGTCCCCCTGCTTAAGCCAGTACATGTCCAGGCCCGTCTGAAGTTTGCTAGAGTGCATTTGGATGATCCAGAAGAGGATTGGGAGAATGTCATATGGTCAGATGAAACCAAAATATAACTTTTTGGTAAAAACTCAACTCGTCGTGTTTGGAGGACAAAGAATGCTGAGTTGCATCCAAAGAACACCATACCTACTGTGAAGCATGGGGGTGGAAACATCATGCTTTGGGGCTGTTTTTCTGCAAAGGGACCAGGACGACTGATCCGTGTAAAGGAAAGAATGAATGGGGCCATGTATCGTGAGATTTTGAGTGAAAACCTCCTTCCATCAGCAAGGGCATTGAAGATGAAACGTGGCTGGGTCTTTCAGCATGACAATGATCCCCAACACACCGCCCGGGCAATGAAGGAGTGGCTTCGTAAGAAGCATTTCAAGGTCCTGGAGTGGCCTAGCCAGTCTCCAGATCTCAACCCCATAGAAAATCTTTGGAGGGAGTTGAAAGTCTGTGTTGCCCAGCGACAGCCCCAAAACATCACTGCTCTAGAGGAGATCTGCATGGAGGAATGGGCCAAAATACCAGCAACAGTGTGTGAAAACCTTGTGAAGACTTACAGAAAACTTTTGACCTGTGTCATTGCCAACAAAGGGTATATAACAAAGTATTGAGAAACTTTTGTTTTTTGACCAAATACTTATTTTCCACCATAATTTGCAAATAAATTCATTAAAAATCCTACAATGATTTTCTGGATTTTTTTCTTCTCATTTTGTCTGTCATAGTTGACATGTACCTATGATGAAAATTACAGGCCTCTCTCATCTTTTTAAGTGGGAGAACTTGCACAATTGGTGGCTGACTAAATACTTTTTTTCCCCACTGTACTTTTTTCTCTCACTGTATGTACCTGGGAACATGAAGACGAGCAGCTGCAGGTCAAAGTAGTAGGAGGACCAGGTGGTGGGCTGGTGCTCAGACACAGAGGCGATGATGGGGATGTTGTTCTTGGCGTAAGATGGGTCCAGCAGCGAGTAGAAACGACCCGTCCAGGGGGAGATCTTCCCTGAGAAACGCAACAATCACAACAAAGTCATGTCGAATAAAAAGGCACTACCAAACCACTTACTGTAGGTCTGATACTTAACGGGTATACTGTTTTGCATTTTCTTAAATCATATCGATATGTTCCTAAAAAAAAGGCATTTTAAAAATCAGGAGAATCTCAAATGTATAGGGCAAATGTGTTGATAGAGAAATGTAACGAGCTTTGAACGACCATACAGGCAGTGGTGTAAAGTACTTAAGTAAAAATACTTAAAAGTACTAAAGTAGTTTTTTGGGGTATCTGTACTTTACTACATTCCTAAAGAAAATAATGTTACTTTTTACTCCATACATTTTCCCTGACACCCAAAAGTACTCGGAAAATGGTCCAATTCACACACTTATCAAGAGAACATCCCTGGTCATCCCTACTGCCTCTGATCTGGCGGACACACTAAACACAAATGCTTAGTTTGTCAATTATGTTGGAGTGTTGGAGCGTGCCCCTGGCTAGCCGTCAATAAAAAAAAAATACAAAAATGGTGCCGTCTGGTTTGCTTAATATAAGGAATTTGAAATGGTTTATACTTTTACTTTTGATACTTAAGTACATTTGAGCAATTCAATTTACTTTTGATACTTAAGTATATTTAAAACCAAATACTTTTACTCAACTAGTATTTTACTGGGTGACTTTCACTTTTACTTGAGTCATTTTCTATTAAGGTATCTTTACTTTCACTCAAGTATGACAATTGAGTACTTTTTCCACCACTGCATACAGGCCTGTAAATAGAAGCCTACATTACTGAGTAGAGTAGAGGCATCGCCCAGGCCTGTCCGAGTGGCAGACCTGAATTAAAATACAGCAGTATTGGTTTTCGTTCAAATACTTGAACTGTACTTGATTGAGTGTATTTTCATGAGTGGATCCTTGGCGAGCCTCTTACCAGTTAGCATGAGCACGGTGCCCACAGAGAGCAGTACGAAGCCCACCAGGGATAAGATGCTCTTGAATAGGACCTCAAACTGCTGGGCGTTTAGCTTGCTGCGCAGGTAGTCCACAAAGGCATGAATCTGACACAGGCCAAACACCCCGAATGCTGCCATGTGCTCAGACGACTGCACTGGCTTCAATGGCCATGAGAGGGAGACAAGCAGGTGAATGAACTGTGTGTGTGTTCCCAATATCTCTCCACCAGCAAAAATGACTGATCATACAATATATAATGGCTTAATCATTGTAAATAATCATATTGGGCCAACATATTCATGGACCCATGCGGTCTTCACAAGATAACATGCAATGGACATGCAGTCTAACAACTGACTGCTCCAGTCGGAGCAACATCTGGGCAGCTGCTGTGTCTATGCGAAGGAAGGGAGAAGGGTTTTTTACCTGGAAGCCGACGAAAGAGATCTGCATGGAGAGGATGGTTCCCAGGCAGTAGACGGTGCAATAGGCCACGTAAATACGGTGGGAGAAGCGGCCGGTGAGCATGAGGACCAGCACGTGGAGGGGGATGAGGTTGATCAGGAACACATAGCCACCCCAGGAGGACACCTACAGACACAAAGACAAAGGGTGTGTCCAGTTGGTTTAACGTTTTTGCTACGTATTATAACGATGCAAACCGTTTTATATTTTTTCTTCATCTTGAACGCAGCCAAGGAAAGCCTCCTTCAGATGAGCACCATGAGAGGAGCGTCACAACCTTTAGCAGGGACTAAGTTACTGTAACATTCAGTTTCTAAGTACTCTCGATTGTTAAAGTTCCTCATCATTTATTTATTCGTTAGTCTCACCATGTAGAAGTAGGCCAGGGCACACATGGAGGACCAGTAGATGGAGCCTGTATTGACTGCCTTGATCCACATGTAGTACGTCAGCAGCATGCAAAAGATGGCAATACCTGGACAGAAAAACAATACATTATATTAAAGACCACAACAAGGGCCAAGTCCTTTAGAGGGGCATGTCCATGGGGATGAGGCTATTTCTGTACCTTCATTGTCATAGGAGCCTGCGACAGAACGGGAAATGTAGCCAGGTACCACCGCTATCATGGCAGCAGCCAAGAGCCCAGCTCCTGCATCCTACAAGAAGTAGACAGTAGATATGAAAGCCATGGAAACAAGTACATTTCAGAGCTCTTGAGCATTTTCACGTTGTAGGCTACCTCCCTGTTTCCCACAATTTCTTTATGTTTTCTACCTCCTGAACAGGACCCAGGTGTGCTGCAACCTACCTTGAGCTCCTTGGTGAAGTGGTAGGTGACTATGGCAGTGAATGAGGAGAAGAGGGGAGCCAGGAAGACACAGACATTACGGATGTCGATGGTGATGTGGAAGAAGTTCAGGACGTGGTACAGGGCAGCAGAGGTGATCATCAGGCCTGGGGGAACAGGGCAGGACACAAATAGTGAACACAGGACAAGTCCACACCTGCCAACCTGCCTACTGCAATGAGGTACGGAAAATGGCCTGGAGGAACAGGACAGAAAGAGTTAACAAAGGGCAAGTACTGTAGCTACTAGCAGTGTCAGCTTGCTGTTGCCAAAGAATGTGTGGGATAGGCCAAAACAATCACAGAAAGGATCTATATGACAGAGGAGGAAAAAAAAGGGTGACAGAAGGACTTGATTACCCAAAGCCACCTAAACACAGGACATTTTTTTTTTTTTTAGAGAGAACATTTTAATGTCTAGATAATCACCCTATAATGTAAAGTACAGTCTTGTGTTGAACATTCCTACCTGGGTAAATAGTGCCACCGATGATCCTCCCCAGAGGGTACCATGCCCTGTCATCAAACCAGTTATGAAAGTTGTAGAACCCCTCTTCTACCAAGAAGCGGGTTGTTCGGTAGTTAAAGTACCTGAGGATGAAGCAGAAAAGCATGCAAATCATGCACCATTTCTGGTTTTAAACACCATTTTGCTAAAAAAAAAAAAAAAAAACACCATGAATCTGAGGATTAAGGAACCATCATACAACAGGTAGTGGACTTACGGATCAAACTCATGGATGACACTCTCGAACCTCAACACAGAGAAAAGCCTGGTGGAAAACGCTGACGAGAAAGGGGGAGAAAGAACAAGTCTAAACCATGTCTACTCGTTGTACCATCAAAGTCAAGCGACAATGGCCCTCATAGTAATAATAGTATGGAATACAAGTGTAGAGTAACGGAAAGGGATGTAAAGTGTATGTGTTCTTACAGAGGATTGCAGCCATAGACAGGATGAGCAGCTTCAGCAGCGTGTCCTGTTTTTCATAGGACAGCCGCAGGAAGCCCAACTTTGTCATCTTCGCACAGGGAGTGATAACTTGGTTTATCTCTGTTGGGAAGATAATCTACATTAGCAGTGTAGGTACGAGGCAGCAAGCTCCATTCCAAACTTCCAGACTTGCATTGCTTGTGCATGAATCAGAGCAGCACAAAAATGAGACTCCCAACCAGTCAGTTTTTACTAGCTTGGCCATGAGGCAAATCTATTCCATAAAAGTTATTTTCATAGTATTTCAGGGTTTAAAACATGGAGCTTCAGTCTACAAAAACTAAACCCCAATTATGTTGGAAAACTAACTTGAACAATGTTAAACACGTCACACGATCTATTAACCAGTTATCTTACACCAACATTATTTGCCTAATGAAATCACTGACTGGGTTTAAAAGACGTGCCCCAGTCTGTTCCAACCAGGGGTGTAAGCATTAGTCCAAGCATTGCAACTAAAACGAGAGTTTATATTGGACAATTCAGGTATGTCCCTCCCCGTTTGCTTCCGTTTAAGAGACGTTTTGCAACAGAATCGGCGTAATGAGTACGCTCCAGATAAGGACATGAGCACTGCCAGGTTGATGTGGCGAAGAATCAAACCAGGAAATGGATGCAACTCCGTGTAGACTGCAAACGTTCCTGATCATTCATACAGTTCTTTCCAACACATCATTGGTTCTTTCTCTGCCTTGACCAACTCACGACCTACCAAATATTAAGACATTCGTGTTGTATGTAGAAATGACCAAGAAATAGCAACACAAGTGACAAATCTGGCACCCAGCCTTTGCTAGCTAGTTAATGTAGCTTAATTTGTTAGCAAATAGTCTGCATGTATGTATTGATCTAGTTAAACGCAATATGTAGTAATCTGATGGGTTTTCCGTTCCTGTAATAGACAGAGCAGATTCCATTCAAGGAGGGCTGAGCCTTCTTTTTACATGCTAACTTTAGCTGTATGAATGAACAGAAGATCTGCTTTCACTTATTCTCAAAGTTACATCTTGTGATTCATTTCAGAATATTCATACAAACAGAGCCATAGCGCAGTTCAATTATCTTTCTCGTTGAATAGCTAGCTACCTATGTTGAGTAAGCGGCACTTACCACTCCGTTCCTGTTACACATATACTCACAACCGTGTGTTCCCGCCCAACCACACTATGCAACGTGTTTATTGGCCTTGCACCGGCCCTTAGTAAACTCTCATTCCTGATTCGTTTATCAGCTATCTTTCATACAGGCCGCGCAGTCGCTCTTCATTCCAGTGACGTGTCCTTACTGCTGAGAATAAAAGAAGAACTTGCATTAATGTGCAGTGATTTTTATTTCTTGTTTCTGTTTACTTTTTTACTTTAATGTTATTTTATGTTTCTTTAGAGAAAATATACGTGTAGTGATGTCCTGTTTTTTTGTTATTGTAATTTGTAATAAAAATAAAAATGTTTAAAAAAAGAGCTTGATTAAAAAAAGGTCTGGAAGTATGAACAGCGACGCTCATAGTCGGTTTTCAACACTGATAAATATCTCTAATAATTTCCAACCAGCTATGCATTACATTATCACCCACATTGGGACATTAATAAAAGGCCAGAATATTTTGTGAATTCTCTTACATATGTTGAGATTTTTTAATTAAATATCCAGGTGGGAAAGTTAATTTCCTGTAATTCTACACGTTTTGCCATGGGGCACAGAGAAAACGTTGCAATTTTATAACACATTTCATTCAATTGTACTCATTTTACCATGGGGTGGAGATAAATGTTTGCAGTTTTATAGCTAATTTCCTGCAATTCTACACATTTTGTAATGACTTTTTACATGTTAATATGATATCTGAGTGAGAATGACTAACAAAATCAATGGGGAACCCCTGGAGGTCAGGGCCTCTTGGCATGTGCCCTGCATGCCCAGTTGGTATTTGGACATGATTACTAAGTTTAGATGGCTGGCTAGACTAACTACCAATCTAAAAATGGTTAGCTGACATGGCTAATTGAGTGACTGACATGAGAAAAACTGCTGATGCCCAAACACAATTCTAAATTGCAACTGGTGTATTCTACTATTTTTACTCTCAATAGTAATTTGAGACCCTGACTGAGTTCCTAAAAAATACAAATTAAACTTTTTTGTTTCGTTGGTTGGGGCCCCCTAAGCGACCGCTTTTGTCGCTTATGACTGGAACCGGCCCTGGGTGGGAAACATTTAGCAACAAAGCAGCTAACCATAGAATACCATTTCAGACAAAGAAAATTGGGTCAATCAAGATTACTTCCAAGTAGATGTTTTTATTTAGGCAATACTTTTAGAAAACCTAACTCACAAATATCAATCTGCATACATAAACACTATGCACTTCATACAATTATTACATACCGTTTCAAAAACGCTTCCCCCGCAACCCATGAGATAAGATGACTAGGTGAAAGCTAGATGATGGTAATCCCCATGGTGAGGATTTGGTTGAACATTAGAGCCAAGTGACATCACGTAAAACAAGAAGCCCCCACATTTTTTTTGCCACTGCTCAAGGGGGAACATAACAAGCACAGAGGGCTTCTCCCTTGTCTGTTACTTGAAGAGAAAATCTGTCAGAAGTTCAGCTCAGTGACGTCTTCCTAGTTCCTACACTACAGTGCTTGGTGTCCAATTGATTCGAAGCAGAAGTTAGTCAAACAGAGTAGTAGATAAAGCAGTTTGGCAGTGTCATCTGATCTGACCCAGCAGCAGTCATACAGCTTCACCTGTCCGTCTAATGCTGCGGTTACACAGGCAGCCCAATTCTGATATTTTTTCCACTAATTGGTCTTTTGACCAATCACATCAGATCTTTTCACATCAGCTCTTTTTCAGAGCTGGTCAAAAGACCAATTAGTGAAAAACATATCTGAATTGGGCTGCCTGTGAAACGCAGTCTATTACACCCCTATAGAAAACTGCTTCCTCAAAATAGCTAGCTTCACCACACAACAACCAGTGATTTAATATTTGGATTTGTTAAGTAAGGATGCTCTTCCTTTGTTGTGTGATGTTTAGATCAGGCCCTGTATTCACAAAGTGTCTCAGGAGTAGGAGTGCTGATCTAGCATCAGTTTGGACTAATAATATATATAAGATTGTATGGACAGATCCTAGATCAGCGACGCTTTGGCTGCGTTTACATATGCATCCCAATTCTGATATTTTTCCCACTAATTGGTATTTTGCAGCCTACGTGGATACAGTCCCAGCTCCATGCTGAAAGCGTAAAAATTAAGATCCTCTAAAAAAAGCACAAAAAATTAGTGTCCCTTTGTTTTCACCGCACAAGATTATTCCTTGGCCAGAGGAGTAGCAGTGCCGCCCTGGCTTTACAGCGAAACAGCTATTCATGAACAAGACAGCATCCTATCAGGGTGAACGGAATGTCACTTGCAACACAGAAAAATTACTCTTGTGCTTTACTTTTGAACATCGCAAACATGTCACCCCCTTCACTGAAAAAGGAGAACAGACTCATTTTATTCACACAAACTTGGATGAATGTCTAGTCACTGGCTGCGTCTCTGTGCTAATTCCTCAAACAAAGGAATACCAAGGATCATGTGACCAGTGTCTAAGGCTCCGTCTGTCATTCAGAACATATAGTAACATAACATGCAGTGCTTGACTTGGGCAGGAGCTCACCGGAGCCTTCAGCTCCTGTTTCTCTTATAAAATATTATCTCATAAGTATTGTGGAGCTCCTGCACCTAAACAGTACTGGTACCCAAAATGAATACCGGCACGGCATGTACTTCAGTCCAAGTCAAGCACTGATAACATCAGTCCTGTAAAAAATTTAACCTTTTCCTTTTCCACATCAAGTGTTTTATACAAAGCAGTCTGGGATCAGTCACTGGGTGATTAACAGATTAAACAAACAATAGGTAGCAAACATTGTAGTTGGAATTGAAAAGAGCAGAACAAAAAAACTGAAGAAAACAATGTATATGACTGCTTGTGCTGTATTTAAAGCACTCAAATGGCACATCATACATAAAAAACAATTAAAACAAATTATGAGAAAGATATATAATATTCATGTGTGTTTGAGCGTGAGGCACAGGGCAGTCAAATCTCCATATTCGTCATTCACATTAAAAACACACCTGGCAGGTGCTCCAAAAGAATATGAAGGGCTGTAGTAGAATCATTAAAATCACATAAAACCCCCCTTTAACTAAAACAAACATAATTCCTCTTCCTGTCCGGATGAGAGAGATCCTTCCACAGAAAGAATCAACTGCTCCTCCATTGGTTTACTAAGCAGTTGCTAAGCTGCTCCTTTGTCACCCCCGGTGGTCATTACTGGGAGGGTATTGGTCTCTGGCGGGCAGGCGAGGCGTGGGGAGAGGGGGGCAGCTTCTCGGTGGAGGTGGACGAAGTCAGGGACGACTGTAGGTGGACCGTCTTGTGGAACAGCTTGTTGCTAATCAGCACAACCAGAGAGAATAGGCGCAGCTGGAAGTGGCTGTGTGTGGAAAAGACACAGGGGGAGAAGAGAGTGAGTGAGCAGGGAAGAGGATTTCACTGGCTCTTTTCACACAAGTGAATCTGTTTGATCACTGGTCATTGTTAGGGCTTGCAGTGCACCAAACTCACTATAGCTTTGTTGGGGTCTTGGCCTCGTTAGCGCTGATGATGAACAGCGGGAAGAGGATGGAGAACAGACAGCCACTAAAGCAGAAAAAATATATAATTTGAATGGATCATTCAAATGATTTACGGATATCAGTAGGACTGAAAGTCTGCATATTGGAAGAGTCCTCATGCTTGGATTGAACGAGGGGACACTAGTGGCGTTACCTTATAATATATGAAGAGGGGAGGGCAGTCAACAGAGCCATGGGAAGACCAAACCCAAAGTAGTAGGGCCAGTTCCTCTCAATGTTGGACAGCCGTTGGTGCATCTCAATGCCTTGGATGAAACGGTTACAAATGGGTTGAGATTTTGTTCAGTTCCTATTACCTAAAATGAGTAGAATACTTCGAGAATAAATACATATTTGAGTACATAGGAAGCACACCATGGTTGAACCAGCGATACTCAAAGCAGTAGAGGGAGTAGAGCAGAGACATGTGAAGAAGGCTGACCATCTGTCCAATGGCATCGATGGGGAAGAGACTCACAACCATACCCTAGAGGACCACAACAAAGACAAGATGATGAGCTAATACATTGACTACTAACTTCCACCATTGGGTGTAATGAATTACAGCTCTCAGTGTTGATCCCAAAGACCCCTGTATGTTTTCATTCCAACACAACCTTTGTGAACCCTCGACAGGTCATGATTGATAGTGAGTCTTCTTTGTGAAATTGAAGACACATGGGAACGTCTATTGCAGTACTACCTGAATGAGGAAGAGAGCCTGGAGGAGGAGGTTGAAGAGCATGTCAGCGATGATCTTACTGACGCTGGGGAAAGGCTGGGCTTTCCGACCAGACACCTCAAACGCCAGGTCAGCTATGTCCTACAGCAGACAACCAGAGGGCGTGTTATCCTCCCGTTTCACTGTGTGACACATGTTAACATCTCACAAGATCCTCAGGCAATAACATTTAAAATACTGGAAGGGAATATAGACAGCATAGCAATAAGACATGGGAAATTTGTAACTACTGTGAGACAAAAGGAAAACATAGCCAAGCATTCATTCAACTGTATTAAATCCAATACTCCATCCCCTGAACATTGCTGGAAAGTTATACATATCATCAATAGAAACCGTAATTGGTTTATGATAAAAGTATATACGACTAGTGCTCTCCGGTGCCAACTGTGCAACAGTTCTCCTTGACCAGCTACAGTGGGGAAAAAAAGTATTTAGTCAGCCACCAATTGTGCAAGTTCTCCCACTTAAAAAGATGAGAGGCCTGTAATTTTAATCATAGGTACACGTCAACTATGACAGACAAAATGAAAAAAAAAAATCCAGAAAATCACATTGTAGGATTTTTAATGAATTTATTTGCAAATTATGGTGGAAAATAAGTATTTGGTCAATAACAAAAGTTTCTCAATACTTTGTTATATACCCTTTGTTGGCAATGACACAGGTCAAACGTTTTCTGTAAGTTCACAAGGTTTCCACACACTGTTGCTGGTATTTTGGCTCCTCTAGAGCAGTGATGTTTTGGGGCTGTCGCTGGGCAACACGGACATTCAACTCCCTCCAAAGATTTTCTATGGGGTTGAGATCTGGAGACTGGCTAGGCCACTCCAGGACCTTGAAATGCTTCTTACGAAGCCACTCCTTCGTTGCCCGGGCGGTGTGTTTGGGATCATTGCCATGCTGAAAGACCCAGCCACGTTTCATCTTCAATGCCCTTGCTGATGGAAGGAGGTTTTCACTCAAAATCTCACGATACATGGCCCCATTCATTCTTTCCTTTACACGGATCAGTCGTCCTGGTCCCTTTGCAGAAAAACAGCCCCAAAGCATGATGTTTCCACCCCCATGCTTCACAGTAGGTATGGTGTTCTTTGGATGCAACTCAGCATTCTTTGTCCTCCAAACACGACGAGTTGAGTTTTTACCAAAAAGTTCTATTTTGGTTTCATCTGACCATATGACATTCTCCCAATCCTCTTCTGGATCATCCAAATGCACTCTAGCAAACTTCAGACGGGCCTGGACATGTACTGGCTTAAGCAGGGGGACACGTCTAGCACTGCAGGATTTGAGTCCCTGGCGGCGTAGTGTGTTACTGATGGTAGGCTTTGTTACTTTGGTCCCAGCTCTCTGCAGGTCATTCACTAGGTCCCCCCGTGTGGTTCTGGGATTTTTGCTCACCGTTCTTGTGATCATTTTGACCCCACGGGGTGAGATCTTGCGTGGAGCCCCAGATCGAGGGAGATTATCAGTGGTCTTGTATGTCTTCCATTTCCTAATAATTGCTCCCACAGTTGATTTCTTCAAACCAAGCTGCTTACCTATTGCAGATTCAGTCTTCCCAGCCTGGTGCAGGTCTACAATTTTGTTTCTGGTGTCCTTTGACAGCTCTTTGGTATTGGCCATAGTGGAGTTTGGAGTGTGACTGTTTGAGGTTGTGGACAGGTGTATTTTATACTGATAACAAGTTCAAAAAGGTGCCATTAATACAGGTAACGAGTGGAGGACAGAGGAGCCTCTTAAAGAAGAAGTTACAGGTCTGTGAGAGCCAGAAATCTTGCTTGTTTGTAGGTGACCAAATACTTATTTTCCACCATAATTTGCAAATAAATTCATTAAAAATCCTACAATGTGATTTTCTGGAGAAAAAAATTCTCAATTTGTCTGTCATAGTTGACGTGTACCTATGATGAAAATTACAGGCCTCTCATCTTTTTAAGTGGGAGAACTTGCACAATTGGTGGCTGACTAAATACTTTTTCCCCACTGTATATCCCACCCTTGTTACAACGACAACCACAAAACATCTGTCATCACCTGTGTACTAACTAACAGAGGCCTCACCTGGAACCAGATGGCGTTGACTATCTTGCTGAGCACAAACAGTGGGAGCACCCAGAGAGCACTGAACACTGAGGTCAATATGAACTCCAGCCAGGACCACACATTGCCATGGAGAGAGGGGTCACCTGGCAGGAAATGTCTCTTTGAGTGACAGGTTTTACCAGTTTTTAACAAATCACTATGAAGCATGTGATAATAGAGTGAACCCGCCCCACAGTTCCAGGCATGCATACATACCGATGATTCTTGCTGTCAGAGTCTGCAGCAGTGGAATAAACACCCGATAGAAGAGGAACAGACTGAGCTGCAAAAATAATTGGAGGAGGGATTACTAACATGAACAATGTCTTTGTATTATTACTTCTTTGCCCCGCTCAAAGAAATTCAGTATTTGCATGATATGCATTTTTCAAACAGTTTTAAAATATAGAAAAGTATGTTTCTTACCCAGAACACTCCCCCATTCCACGCACAGCACTGAAAAATCCTACTGGCTAATTTGGGTTCACTGAAAGAGAGAGTATGACAACACATTGTCACCCACCATCGTCATTAATAAGCACAAAAAGGTATAGGTCTAAGCCTACCGTGAACACTGGACAGCATACAAGGATCCATATGAAAGGTCTTTACTCATAACTCTTAATATGAACCTTTCACAACTAGAACGAGCATAATAAGTTGCCTTTTATGATGTGTATCAAGTAGCTCCTCAGGCTGAGGGAGATACCAAAACAGAATTGTGCTGGCTCTGACATTTTTTTTCTTCCATATCACCCTTTCCAGCATGGTTCAGTCCAGCTTGGCTCGGCAGTGTGAATAGGGTATTAAACTCCTACGTGCCAGTGTCTACCTCTCCTGTTTGCGTTCCTCACTCTGGGCCCGTCTCTGAGCCAGGGCGCCGCTGGCTCTCCTCTTTCGCTGCTCCTCCCTTTTCTGCTGGATGCGGGCATCCAGCTTGGAGATAGTTCCGATCCCCAAAATGGAGTCCTTAATCCCCTGTAGGACACACAGAAAATTCACACTAAGACTGGGGTAAATGCCTTATAAAAGGAAATCAACACAGCACATTATTCTAATGTTGTACGCTAGACTTGGTATGTGTATACATACATGGGTGGAAAAGTTCCTTTTAAATCATTGCAGTCAGGTAACTTGTGCTTAAATTCACTTGGTTACCTAGTAGCACAGTTTAAATAAAAAATACATTAACTATACAAAAAAAAACAAGGCTAATCTTTGCACTGCTTTTGTGGAGGGGATCACCATCTGGAAGTAAGGTGATGAGGTTCAAGGTAAACAACACAAGATAACGGTAAACATTTGGTTAAGACATTAAATGTAGGCTACTATGGTTTTACCCCAAAGCAACGTTTGCTCTAGAGCAAACAAGAAAAAACACAAAATAAAAAGTTTAAACTTTATTAAAACATTTAATTTGTCTTATGTAAAAACATACTAACTTACTAGACTAAATGTTAAAATGGGCCAAGTGGATGGCATCAACTAGAAAACATAATTCCCAATGGATCTAAACAGAGCTTGGTAGTTGGTTCACCATCTCATGGTTCAGACAGATAGCTGTACCCTCCTTTAACCCCATGTGTAGGCCTATCACTTGTGCTTGTATGTGGACAGACAGGGTGTGTTGTGTTGCTGTCTGACCGTCGCAACATTGCGGAGGAAGGCCCTGACACTGTCTGTCATCTCCAGACCAGCTGCAGATCCATCAACTGCAGAAGGAGGAGGGGCTGGGGACCTGGTCAGCTCTCATGGCAGGGAGGGGCACACCTAGCAACCTGTGACACCACACATGAAAAAAGTTAGAGCAGCAGGTTCACTTTGCTCCAAGTCTCAGATGAAAGCAGGTTCACACTGAGGAGCACACCAAGCAACCTGTGACATCATGGCAAGGAGGAGCACACCAAGCAACCCGTGACATCATCAGTCACATCACGCAGTCAAATATTTAGAGCAGGGCTCTCCAACCCTTATGCTGCGTTCAAAACAACTGGGAACTCGGAAATCTCAGACTTCAGTGCGTTCAAGACAACCTAGGAATATACAGAGATGTATGTTCCTAGAAGACAACTTGGAAAAATCGTTTTGAACGGCCATTCAACTAAAGAAACTCTGGCATCTTTTAGAGCTCCGACTTTCCGACCTGAAAATCACTGCGGTCATGATTTGACCTATTTTTTAAAGTTCCAAGATCTCTTGAAAGTAGGGCTGACCCCAATTAGTCGACTGGTCGATTGTTTAGTCGTTAGGCTGTTCGTCAACCGAGACGGTTTTAGTCGAGCAGTAACATACATATACAATGCGGAGGGCTCTGTATAGCTCCGCATTGACATGATTAGTTGACGGTAGGTGGGGGCGGTACATCCTGTAGAAAACACAAACTCACTTCCTTGACAACAGCTCTGCACTGCTCCGTGAAGCGCAAGAAGTATGAATGCCCTGACTTCTGCTGAGGCTGTATCACCATAAATGCTGCATGGCCAATGCAGACGTTGGATTGACCATGCGCCCAGATGCAGAATGCACTCTCTCCCGCCAATTTGTGCACATTCATTGTTTTATAACTTCATTGTGTGCATTTGATTGTTAGTGAATATAAATTCCCCATTACATATATCACCAGTAGTACATTTACTGTTAATTCCTATCATTTCTAATATACACTACCGGTCAAAAGTTTTAGAACACCTACTCATTCAAGGGTTTTTCTTTATTTTACCATTTTCTACATTGTAGAATAATAGTGAAGACATCAAAACTATGAAATAACACATATGGAATCATGTAGTAACCAAAAAAGGGTTAAACAAATCAAAATATATTTTATATTTGAGATTCTTCAAATACCCACCCTTTGCCTTGATGACAGCTTTGCACACTCTTGGCATTCTCTCAACCAGCTTCATGAGGTAGTCACCTGGAATGCATTTCAATTAACAGGTGTGCCTTTTTAAAAGTTAATTTGTGGAATTTCTTTCCTTCTTAATGCGTTTGAGCCAATCAGTTGTGTTGTGACAAGGTAGGGGTGGTATACAGAAGATAGCCCTAATTGGTAAAAGACCAACTCAATATTATGGCAAGAACAGCTCAAATAAGCAAAGAGAAAGGACAGTCCATCATTACTTTAAGACCTGAAGGTCAGTCAATACGGAACATTTCAAGAACTTTGAAAGTTTCTTCAAGTGCAGTGGCAAAAAACATCAAGCGCTATGATGAAACTGGCTCTCATGAGGACCGCCACAGGAATGGACGACCCAGAGTTACCTCTGCTGCAGAGGATAAGTTAATTCGAGTTACCAGCCTCAGAAATTGCAGCCCAAATAAATGCTTCACAGAGTTCAAGTAACAGACACATCTCAACATCAACTGTTCAGAGGAGACTGCGTGAATCAGGCCTTCATGGTCGAATTGCTGCAAAGAAACCACTACTAATTGACACCAATAATAAGAAGAGACTTGCTTGGGCGAAGAAACACGAGCAATGGACATTAGACCGGTGGAAATGTGTCCTTTGGTCTGGAGTCCAAATTTGAGATTTTTGGTTCCAACCGCCGTTTCTTTGTGAGATGCGGTGTGGGTGAACGGATGATCTCCGCATGTGTATTTCCCACCGTAAAGCATGGAGGAGGAGGTGTTATGGTGTGGGGACACTGTCTGTGATTTATTTAGAATTCAAGGCATACTTAACCAGCATGGCTACCACAGCATTCTGCAGCGATACGCCATCTCATCTGGTTTGGGCTTAGTGGGACTATCATTTGTTTTTCAACAGGACAATGACCCAACACACCTCCAGGCTGTAAAAGGGCTATTTTACCAAGAAGAAGAGTGATGGAGTGCTGCATCAAATGACCTGGCCTCCACAATCCCACGACCTCAACCAAATTGAGATGGTTTGGGATGAGTCGGACCGCAGAGTGAAGGAAAAGCAGCCAACAAGTGCTCAGCATATGTGGTAACTCCTTCAAGACTGTTGGAAAAGCATTCCAGGTGAAGATGGTTGAGAGAATGCCAAGAGTGTGCAAAGCTGTCATCAAGGCAAAGGGTGGCTATTTGAAGAATCTCAAAATGTAAAATATATTTGGATTTGTTTAACACTTTTTTGGTTACTACATGATTCCATATGTATTATTTCATCATTTTGATGTCTTCACTATTATTCTACAATGTAGAAAATCGTAAAAATAAAATAAAAACCCTTGAATGAGTAGGTGTTCTAAAACTTTTGAGCGGTAGTGTGTTTGTTACTTTGGTTATGGTAATTTCTGTTAATCCATTCAATATTATTATTCCAGTCTTCAGTTATCATTGTCGGAGTGGACACATTGTTTGCAGAGTGCACAACCTATGCTACACTTGAGAGAAACAAGTTTTGGTTTATTTAATTCAATTTACGAGTTTTGTCAATTTAGTCATTGTCTTTTGATTGGAGCACTCCTGTCAATGTTGAGAAAGGACGTGCACGCATTGAAGTAGGCCTATAGACTACCTGGCCTGCGCGCAAATGTAGGCATATAAATGAGCCCATTTGAGGATCTGATAGTATTTCTGATTGGCTTAACGCACCACCTGTGGAGCTTCTCAAAGGAACGTTTCTTCACCTCAAACAGCAACCAAACAAAGTATTTTTACAATAGTTCCTCAATGTATTTGAAAAATCTTTCCAGCTCTCTCCCTTTCATTAACCACTCAGCTTGAAAGGGAAAAATGTCATGCTCTGATCCAGTGGAAACTACCAGATTACTTCTTATCAGTGCTTGACTTGGACTGAAATAGGTTCTGGTACTCATTTTGGGTGCTGGTACTGTTTATATACTGCTCAAAAAAATAAAGGGAACACTAAAATAACACATCCTAGATCTGAATGAATGAAATAATCTTATTAAATCCTTTTTTCTTTACATAGTTGAATGTGCTGACAACAAAAACACACAACAATTATCAATGGAAATCAAATGTATCAACCCATGGAGGTCTGGATTTGGAGTCACCCTCAAAATTAAAGTGGAAAACCACACTACAGGCTGATCCAACTTTGATGTAATGTCCTTAAAACAAGTCAAAATGAGGCTCAGTAGTGTGTGTGGCCTCCACGTGCCTGTATGACCTCCCTACAACGCCTGGGCATGCTCCTGATGAGGTGGCGGATGGTCTCCTGAGGGATCTCCTCCCAGACCTGGACTAAAGCATCCGCCAACTCCTGGACAGTCTGTGGTGCAACGTGGCGTTGGTGGATGGAGTGAGACATGATGTCCCAGATGTGCTCAATTGGATTCAGGTCTGGGGAACGGGCGGGCCAGTCCATAGCATCAATGCCTTCCTCTTGCAGGAACTGCTGACACACTCCAGCCACATGAGGTCTAGCATTGTCTTGCATTAGGAGGAACCCAGGGCCAACCGCATCAGCATATGGTCTCACAAGGGGTCTGAGGATCTCATCTCGGTACCTAATGGCAGTCAGGCTACCTCTGGCGAGCACATGGAGGGCTGTGCGGCCCCCCAAAGAAATGCCACCCCACACCATGACTGACCCACCGCCAAACCGGTCATGCTGGAGGATGTTGCAGGCAGCAGAACGTTCTCCACGGCGTCTCCAGACTCTGTCACGTCTGTCACGTGCTCAGTGTGAACCTGCTTTCATCTGTGAAGAGCACAGGGCGCCAGTGGCGAATTTGCCAATCTTGGTGTTCTCTGGCAAATGCCAAACGTCCTGCACGGTGTTGGGCTGTAAGCACAACCCCCACCTGTGGACGTCGGTCCCTCATACCACCCTCATGGAGTCTGTTTCTGACCGTTTGAGCAGACACATGCACATTTGTGGCCTGCTGGAGGTAATTTTGCAGGGCTCTGGCAGTGCTCCTCCTGCTCCTCCTTGCACAAAGGCGGAGGTAGCAGTCCTGCTGCTGGGTTGTTGCCCTCCTACGGCCTCCTCCACGTCTCCTGATGTACTGGCCTGTCTCCTGGTAGCGCCTCCATGCTCTGGACACTACGCTGACAGACACAGCAAACCTTCTTGCCACAGCTCGCATTGATGTGCCATCCTGGATGAGCTGCACTACCTGAGCCACTTGTGTGGGTTGTAGACTCCGTCTCATGCTAGCACTAGAGTGAAAGCACCGCCAGCATTCAAAAGTGACCAAAACATCAGCCAGGAAGCATAGGAACTGAGAAGTGGTCTGTGGTCACCACCTGCAGAACCACTTCTTTATTGGGGGTGTCTTGCTAATTGCCTATAATGTCCACATGTTGTCTATTCCATTTGCACAACAGCATGTGAAATGTATTGTCAATCAGTGTTGCTTCCTAAGTGGACAGTTTGATTTCACAGAAGTGTGATTGACTTGGAGTTACATTGTGTTGTTTAAGTGTTCCCTTTATTTTTTTGAGGAGTGTATATACACACATACAGTATCTCACAAAAGTGAGTACACCCCTCACATTTTTGTAAATATTTGAGTATATCTTTTCATGTGACAACACTGAAGAAATGACACTTTGCTACAATGTAAAGTAGTTAGTGTACAGCTTGTATAATAGTGTAAATTTGCTGTCCCTTCAAAATAACACAACACACAGCCATTAATGTCTAAACCGCTGGCAACAAAAGTGAGTACACCCCTAAGTGAAAATGTCCAAATTGGGCCCAAAGTGTCAATATTTTGTGTGGCCACCATCATTTTCCAGCACTGCCTTAACCCTCTTGGGCATGGAGTTCATGTTTGAACTCCACGTATGGTCTGAGCACTGACAGGCTGACCCCCGACCCCTTCAACCTCTGCAGCAATGCTGGCAGCACTCATATGTCTATTTCCCAAAGACAACCTCTGGATATGACGCTGAGCACGTGCACTCAACTTCTTTGGTCGACCATGGCGAGGCCTGTTCTGAGTGGAACCTGTCCTGTTAAACCACTGTATGGTCTTGGCCACCGTGCTGCAGCTCAGTTTCAGAGTCTTGGCAATCTTCTTATAGCCCAGGCCATCTTTATGTAAAGCAACATTTTTTTTTCTTCAGATCCTCAGAGAGTTCTTTGCCATGAGGTGCCATGTTGAACTTCCAGTGACCAGTATGAGGGAGTGTGACAGCGATGACACCAAATTTAACACACCTGCTCCCCATTGACACCTGAGACCTTGTAACACTAACGAGTCACATGACACCAGGGAGGGAAAATGGCTAATTGGGCCCAATTTTGACATTTTCACTTAGGGGTGCACTCACTTTTGTTGCCAGCGGTTTAGACATTAATGGCTATGTGTTGAGTTGTTTTGAGGGGACAGCAAATGTACACTGTTATACAAGCTGTACACTCGCTACTTTACATTGTAGCAAAGTGTCATTTCTTCAGTGTTGTCACATGAAAATATATACAAAAATATTTACAAATATGTGAGGGGTGTACTCACTTTTGTGAGATACTGTATATATTTTTTTGTTGTTGTTGGTATTCTTTCTTAAAACTGCATTGTTGGTTAAGGGCTTGTAAATAAGCATTCACCTGTTGTATTCGGCGCATGTGACATAACATTTGATTTGAATGTGAGTGGGTGTGTGTAGAGTCAATATACATGTGCATTTGTGTGTGACATTGTTATGTTGAATATCCAGTTACCTTATCAAGTGATGTTAGAGACACTTCTAAATTAATTGTATCTAGCTAACTAGCCATCTGTTGTTAGACAGTTATGATTGAAACGTTGTTTTGCCACAATTCTAGGAACGCTGCTGCGTCTTGAGGCAGACAACACTGAAACGTTAGCTAGTTACGAGAACACATACAACCAACTGTAGTTAACTACATACCTAGTTACTTGAAAAAAAGTTAGTACACAGACGTTCAGTAGTAACATTGGCTAGCTAGGTGTCAAACAAACATAGAATTATAGCTAGCTAGATGGTTAGCTACCCAGGCAAATCGTCCAAATGCAAACGGTGCAAGCAAGCTAACTTGCCCAACTGGCTCGTTAGCTAACAACGAATTTAGATGATTTAGCTAATTGGATCAAAGACAGGCCAGATAATCGAGAATTTAGTCACCATGACCTACCTCATACAGCTTCACAGAAATAATCTCTTCACCTCTTTTTTTCTGCAACAACAACCCAAACCCTGCCCCGTAACTTGTGTATTGCGCAAACTCCAACCTAAGGGATTGTGGGAGGTGTAGTGTGGTGTCTGGGACGGCAAAAAGTTGTGTCCTCTGCTTGCTCTTTTGGGGGTAGGCCCTCCGGAAGCACTTGTGACAACCATTGGTGTAAAGGGTTTTGTAAAGACAATTTTCCAGTGAATTATCACTCATGGATTTCATACAATTAAACACTGTAGTAGGCCAACATATACTGAACAAAAATATAAACGCAACATGTAAAGTGTTGGTCCCATGTTTCATGATTTGAAATAAAAGATCAGACATTTTCCATACGCACAAAAAGCTTTTTCTTTCAAATTCTGTCCACAAACAGTTTGGGGAAGGCCCTTTCCTGTTTCAGCATGACAATTCTCCTGTCCACAAAGCGAGGTCCATACAGACATGGTTTGTCGAGATCCGTGTGGAAGAACTTGACTGGCCTGCACAGAGCCCTGACCTCAACCCCATCGAACACCTTTGGGATGAATTGGAACGCTGACTGCGAGCCAGGCCTAATCGCCCAACATCAATGCCCGACCTCACTAATGCTCTTGTGGATGAATGGAAGCAAGTCACCGCAGCAATGTTCCAACATCTAGTGGAAAGCCTTCCCAGAAGAGTGGAGGCTGTTATAGCAGCAAAGGCGGGACCAACTCCATATTAATGCCTATGATTTTGGAATGAGATGTTCGACGAGCAGGTGTCCACATACCTTTGGTCATGTAGTGTATTTGAAATCTAGTTTGAGAGCAAAATCAGGAAAATTACACTAATTACATGCTTGTAACTCTTTTGTACTGAAGGACAGTTAGTGCCGTGTGAACATGCAGTGTTAATATTCTCCATGAACCAAAGCCTCTTTCTGCCAACTCAACCAGCTTCTCTCCTCTTACAGCCAACTCTGCACAAATACTGGTTAGAGATCAGTTACAACAATCTAACTTTAGAGGTTGACCAACTACCGACCAGTTTCAAAGTCATTGCCAATGAGAGACCAGCTACAGAGCAGTTTCAATGCCATGACTAAAGAGAGAGACCAGTTTCAGGGTTATCTCTGTGTGCTAGGTGAGTTGTACTGTACTTGAGAAATGAGACGGCGAGAGAGTAAACAGTCATTTTGAAATACCATCTTGTAATCCTTAAAAAACATAATTGTTCATTTTGATATGACTGGATAATTCACCAACAGGTTTGTGTCACTAGCCTCATTTATACCTGGTGCTAATGTCACAAGTGACACTGACTTTTATTAAACTAGAGACTACCATTCTCTTTATATTACATATCACCATGTTTTATTATTTGATATCAACGATTCCTTACATTCCCACGTGTGAAATCAAATTGAATTGCATGGACAATTTTGCTTGCTTGCTTGCATGGTATGCTGTGATTCTTCAGATTGACATGGGCTTAAGTGACATTGAGACAGCTGTTGTCAATTCCCTAGCACCTCCTCCCTCCCCAAACTAATTCCTAAACACACCCCAGAACTCGAGTTAAAAGGAACTTACCTTCAGGGCACCATTTGGACCGGGCACTTCTTGACTGACGTCCACCTCGTTGCTGCTGTGTCTCGCCGCTGGTCAACTGCTGTGGGAAAAAGACAAATCACAACACTCTCTATAGCAATACTAAAAGAAAGTGCTTGTTTCAAATGCATGAGTGTGACTCCAACTGTTCGCCAGTACATGCTCTATTTGTATGTTGTATCCCCTCATAGTTAGCCTGTAGCCCTAAATCCTAGCCCTTTTATGTTTGATTGGGCTGTAGTGATTCTGTGTTGTCATTGTGGTAAAAGCTGAATTCATAATAAAATAACCTTTACTTTGGCTTGCCTCTGTTTGCTGTGGGATCTTAGAACTCTGCTTTTGAAACTAACGTGTCCGTTGTCCTGATCTTATCCACATCCTGATTGTGCCCACATTGTTGCCGTTGCATCTACACATGGTAGTAAAATATGTCCACATTGTGACCAGATATCCTGGTCCCTCCCTGTATGAACATTATTTGACAGCTATTCTTAAAAAATGTATATGTATTTTAAGACTATTGATGCCATAAGTCAAGTGTCATCTGTCAATGATTTTAGAGGGCGAATTAATGGTTTCACTGTAGATCCAACTCCACTTGTAAGATAACCAGACACAACGCGTGTCGTACTACCTCTGGAGGTGGTCAGGAAGATCGGATCACAATGAGTATTTCAATTGTCTACACCTGTCAAATGTGGGCACAATCCAAATTTATGTTGGAACCAGGTATAAACGGGGCTAGTGTGGACGTGAGTGCTACGTTTCCAGTGTTCTGCTTTGCTCTTCAACAGGGAATGAGCATTCAACAGGGTCAACACATGGTTTTTCAGCTCCAGTTGGTATTAAATCTCTACTGAGACTAAATCCTGGGAGGACAAAACACTGCAAGGGAAGAGAAGCAGACCTAGTGATCATAAACAGCAAAGAGGAGCAGGAGAATGAAAGAAAAGAAACTAAGGGGGAGATGGGATCTGGAACTAGTGTGGTACTGTTGATGCCCACTATTTTCTTGCCAGTATATTTTTCTGCCAATATGCTAAGAATTTATCCATGGATTTGAAAATAAGATACTGGATTTGTCTGTCTGACCATTATAAGAAAATGACCATGTGGTAAGAACATTATTATACAGTGCATTCGGAAAGTATTCAATATGCACACAATACCCCATAATGACAAAGCAAAAGTTTTATAGACATTTTTGCAAAAAAAAACAAAAAAACATTTACATAAGTAGTTAGACCCTTTACTCAGTACTTTGTTGAAAAACCTTTGGCAGCAATTACTGCCTCGAGTCTTCTTGGGTATGACGCTACAAGCTTGACACGCCTGTATTTGGGGAGTTTCTCCCCATTCTTCTCTGCAGATCCTCTCAAGCTCTGTCAGGTTGGATGGGGAGCGTCGCTGCACATCTATTTTCAGGTCTCTCCAGAGATGTTCGATCGGGCTCTGGCTGGGCCACTCAAGGACATTCAGAGACTTGTCCCGAAGCCACTCCTGCGTTGTCTTGGCTGTGTGCTTAGGGTCATTGTCCTGTTGGAAGGTAAACCTTCTCCCCAGTTTGAGGTCCTGAGCGCTCTGAAGCAGGTTTTCATCAAGGATCTCTCTGTACTTTGCTCTGTAAATCTTACCCTCGATCCTGACTAGTCTCCCAGTCCCTGCCGCTGAAAAACATCCCCACAGCATGATGCTGCCACGACCATGCTTCACCGTAGGCTGGTACCAGGTTTCCTCTAGACGTGACGCTTGGCATTCAGGCCAAAGAGTTCAATCTTGGTTTCATCAGACCAGAGAACCTTGTTTCTCATGGTCAGAGTCCTAGGTGTCTGATTGGTGGAGTGCTGAGGAGATGGTTGTCCTTCTGGAAGGGTATCCCATCTCCACAGGAACTCTGGAGCTCTGTCAGAGTGACCTCAGGTTCTGGTCACCTCCCTGATCAAGGCCCTTCTCCCCCGATTGCTCAGTTTGACCGGGCGGCCAGCTCTAGGAAGAGTCTTGGTGGTTCCAAACTTCTTCCATTTAAGAATGATGGAGGCCAGTGTGTTCTTGGGGACCTTCAATGCTGCAGACATTTTTTGGTACCCTTCCCCAAATCTGTGCCTTCGACACAATCCTGTCTCTGAGCTCTACAGACAATTCCTTCGACCTCATGGCTTGGTTTTTGCTCTGACATGCACTGTCAACTGTGGGACCTTATATAGACAGGTGTGTGCCTTTCCAAATCATGTTTAATCAATTGAATTTACCACAGGTGGACTCCAATCAAGTTGTAGAAACATTTAAAGGATGATCAATGGAAACAGAATGCACCTGAGCTCAATTTTGAGTCTCATAGCAAAGGGTCTGAATACTTATGTAAATAAGGTACAGTGAGGGAAAAAAGTATTTGATCCCCTGCTGATTTTGTACGTTTGCCCACTGACAAATACATGATCAGTCTATAATTTTAATGGTAGGTTTATTTGAACAGTGAGAGACAGAATAACAACAAAAAATCCAGAACAACGCATGTCAAAAGTGTTATGAATGATTTGCATTTTAATGAGGGAAATAAGTATTTGACCCCTCTGCAAAACATGACTTAGTACTTGGTGGCAAAACCCTTGTTGGCAATCACAGAGGTCAGACATTTCTTGTAGTTGGCCACCAGGTTTGCACACATCTCAGGAGGGATTTTGTCCCACTCCTCTTTGCAGATCTTCTCCAAGTCATTAAGGTTTCGAGACTGACGTTTGGCAACTCGAACCTTCAGCTCCCTCCACAGATTTTCTATGGGATTAAGGTCTGGAGACTGGCTAGGCCACTCGAGGACCTTAATGTGCTTCTTCTTGAGCCACTCCTTTGTTGCCTTGGCCGTGTGTTTTGGGTCATTGTCATGCTGGAATACCCATCCACGACCCATTTTCAACGCCCTGGCTGAGGGAAGAAGGTTCTCACCCAAGATTTGACGGTACATGGCCCCGTCCATCGTCCCTTTGATGCGGTGAAGTTGTCCTGTCCCCTTAGCAGAAAAACACCCCCAAAGCATAATGTTTCCACTTCCATGTTCAACGGTGGGGATGGTGTTCTTGGGGTCATAGGCAGCATTCCTCCTCCAAACACGGCGAGTTGAGTTGAGTTGATGGTGGTCCCCTGTAGCTCAGATGGTAGAGCATGGCGCTTGCAACGCCAGGGTTGTAGGTTCGTTTCCCATGGGGGCCAGTATGAAAAATGTATGCACTCACTAACTGTAAGTCGCTCTGGATAAGAGCATCTGCTAAATGACTAAAATGTAAAAAAAATGCCAAAGAGCTCGATTTTGGTCTCATCTGACCACAACACTTTCACCCAGTTCTCCTCTGAATCATTCAGATGTTAATTGGCAAACTTCAGACGGGCCTGCATATGTGCTTTCTTGAGCAGGGGGACCTTGCGGGCGCTGCAGGATTTCAGTCCTTCACGGCATAGTGTGTTACCAATTGTT